CCAACACCAACACCAACACCAACACCAACACCAATACACAACATACACAACAAATCAATGAATTCCATTCCTATTCCAGAGACAACAAACAGCCACTGTGCTTTCAACGGATGGTTAGCTTGTACATTCTTTTCAGAACAGCAGTACGGTAGTACTTTCCACCTTCCTGGCACTAACTTAGTTTTTGCACCGTAGAAACTGCTGTTAAGTATTTGCGTTAGCGAGCCAATCCACGACAAAAAGTTTCAGTCAAAATTTTCAACAGAAAACAGAAAACCCTCATTAATGTACTTCACTGTGAAATGCTACTACGAGCTCCTGCATCACCAATCGCATCATAAAAGTATCACGCGATCACAGCTCTCGACGTATTCGGTTTCAAAAACCTCACCCGCTCTATGACAACCAAACGTTACCAATTCCGTTCCATACCACTGACATGAAGGAAGACGTCCGACTCGTGATCAAGGATCTAGAATACGCATGTCGTCAATCGCTCTACAACGGTATTTCCGGGACAATCGGTGATACCAATGGTGGCTCCTTGTCGGATTACGAACAACAACGGCCAGCTTCGAATATCCATCTAGGGGTCGGAGTCGCTCTCCCACCAGCAAAACGACAGTGCAGAAATGATCGTGTAGTGGCGGACAAAGCCAGAAGCTGGGATGTGGTGAGCTTTATWCGACACCTTTTGTAGTACATGTGTTCCGTTCTTAGTCCGTTCTCTTTTCTGTGTGATTGATCTAACTTCGATGGATTATTCCACGGTATTCTTGTATCTATTCTGTATCATTTTGTCAGATTCTGGCCRAGGCAAGCAACCTGCTCTGGTCGATGACGGAATATGAGCATGGCCAAGTCTCGAGGTTCGCTGGGATTCTTTTGCTTGGATTCTTTCTTCCACAATCCACCGGCAACAACTTCTTTTCCCTTCAAAATGTTTCTACTCGGCGTCCGATGACATCTAGACAGCAACGGCAAAAGCAGCAATCTCAATCCACAGGAATACAACCGCCTAAAAATCTCACCCACAATAAAGGCGTGTCCGACCAGCAAATTATATTGATGTCGCTGGAAGAGCGCCTGGAGAGCAGTCCGCATCGCTACGGGAACGAATTTGGTGAACTCGATGATGTCATTGTACACGAACACGTTGAAAGTGCCTTCTTCTCGTTTCTGAAAATAGGTTTGAGACCCTTCCTCTCGGGTCGGCCGGCACATTCTACTCAGGTCGATGTTATTCACTTATTAGCCATGGCCATTCATCCTCGCCCGTCAGACCAATGTATACGGCAAACGACATCCAGGCTCGAGGAACAAAAGAGTGAGGTTTGGGAGATGACGACGCGTTTGATGTCCAGTCTAGCCGCACATTCCTTTCAAATTAATTATCGTCACAGGGTAGAGTTGGTCAGAGTTGTTTTGGATTGCCTTGTATTGCCAGAATGCGGACAGGAGGCGGGCATCTACAAAAATGCACCGTTGTTTGAGGGTGCAATACCTCATCTCCGTGCTTCACTGTACGCATTTGGAATGGCATCTATGAGTCCCTATGATAGTCACTTGTCACAGCGTGGAATGGTCTCGTTAGCTATTCAAAGCGGCATTGATCACGTAGTGAAAGAAGAATGGAGCCGTCTTCTGCATCGTATGGTCGACGATCAGACCAACTACAGTCATTGTTCCGACGACATGACCGATGGCCAAACAACAGCAACAGTTACGACCTCTAGTACAACAAATCAATTGAGTGACAAAGATTTCTGCCCACACACTGCTCGTGGAGAGCTGTTGCGGAGCTTCTTGATACGATATAACGAAGCGCGTCATTTCGCTGAAGAAGAGTTTCTTCAATATGCACTAAGTTCGTTAACAGATGCTATCGAAATGCAGGTGGACTGTTGGACTAAAGAAGAGGAAGCTGAAAGCAAGGATACGGGGGTCAAGCCAAATTCCAGAGAGGGAAACTATCCAGTCGGGGACAGCATAGACATGATTTTGTCGAGCAATCAACCACCTCTTGTCTTGGCGTCTCTCCTAAACTCCGCTAAAGATCTTTTCCACTTTCTTTTACCTCTCAAGAACAACGGACGAGCCACAGAAGGGGACGGGCATGGAGGCGACGAAGTATACGAATCAGAAGATAGTCATCACAGGGACATGCTCATTAGTTGCGCTATTCAACTAATCCATCACTGGGACCCTAAAATAGTAAAGGAGGCTTGCACATTGCTGGTTCTAGCGTTTAGCTACTCGGACGACATGTGGGAAGATTACATCGGGGCAGTCTTTGATAGTACAGTCATCGCTCTTGATATTGCTATGAAAAGAAAAACAGACAAACATGCATCGAGAGTGGCAATCGAAGGTTTGGTTTCTGCTTTTTCTCAGCGATCACCTACATTCGCAGTGAATCTTTTCCGGCTTCTATTGAAAAAGGGAAGGTCTTCAGACCGAAACTCTCTTGTTATTTTCCGATTGATAGCTGCCATTGCTAATGCACGTCCAGCAGTTGTTCAGGAACGTATAGGGACAGTCACGGATTACTTGAATGAAGTCAAAGATCAAAATGCAAAGAAACACATACTAGCAAGTATTCTTTCCTGCCGTAGAACGCATTATTTCGCAAACGAAACGGACTCATTGACTAATCTCATGCCAAAAATACATAGTTCATTACTTGGAAATTGGGATAAATACCTGCTTTCCCGGCATGCACTTTTGACTGGAAACTTTGTTATTGCGAAAGAGTTGTATCGGGAACTGATGAAATCCGCTGCAACAGAAAGAAGCTTCCTCTGGCTCTCGGCCATGGAAAATATAGCAGATGGAGAAGCACAACTCTGCAGGGCCGCTTCAGGGGCTCTTCCAGAATCTACTTCGAAGTTTCGTAGAGCTATTGGTACACTCCGTTCGCTTGAGGCATTGAAATATGTATCAACAACTTTCCAGATCAGAATACTTGAATTAAGAGTCTCATTTTTGGATCTCCTAACGAACATGAGACAGTTGACGATGTGAGTTGCATTATTGCGATGGTTTCAAAAGATTTTAATGTCGTCATTAATATCTTCTCAACAGTTTTGTATGGTCCTATATCGTACCTCAGAGAAATGAGATTGATAGGTACAGAAACGAAGAAGTATACGAGACCAAACATCCATCAAAAGAATTTTGTCAAACTCTTCCGAAAATTGAGTATAGATTACTTGAGAATTTACAAGCAATACGGATTATTTATCTGTCAGCAGTCACGAAGTGCGATGCGAACGCTACACGTCCTTTGTTCCTTTGTTGCAAAAGCTGGAGCTCGGGTGTTTGCAGATTCCATTGTGCTTGAGGAAGAAAGAATCAACAAGGTGTTCGCACATGGAGACGGTACCCAACCAATCACAATGCTAATGAAACAGCTGGATACTTTTGCGTTGGAGAAACTAAATAAGTTCGTGGACGTTAAGATTCGTGCAGTGACTTTGCTTGAATTCATGGATAGGATTCTAAAAACTCCTACTCCTATTCCAAGATCTTTGGTATGTCCCAAAAAATTGCCTGATTCCCATCTTCAACTGGTATTTGATCCTGACACACATGATGGTGACGAATATCCAATAAATATACGCAATGGGACACACCTCTCGTTTATAGCAAGTGGGAAGGTACCAGCCTCTCTCATGTCGCTGTCACAAATTCCGTTCAACAAAGTCCTTCTATGGTACGAAATTACATTTACAGGAGGGTCGAAAAAAAAATCTAATTTATCTCAGAAGTTGCGCGACATCGATAGGAGTCCAATTGCCACGTCGGTTTCGTCTGCTGGAAGCTTTTCAACGAAGGTTGATGGTAATTTACTTTTGAACGAAGGCTGCTATACCCTTGAATTTCGACTTGGGTGCAGAGATATTCGCGGAGGAGAATGGGAACTTCCGATGGATAAAACTCAACATTATTCAGTGAAAGTTGTTTGATCTCGACACAGGGCAACTCCTCCTGCGTGTCCAGTCCCACAAATCCATTCAGGGGGACTACAGTTGGGTGAAAAATAATTTGAAATGACATCTGGAGCCATCTCCATCGAAGAAAGAGCTCAATGAGATATGTGCAATTCTGAAAGAAGGACTTAATGAAAAAAAGGCCGGGTGAAGGCCGTGGAGCTGGGAAGGTCTCCAAAGCCTTTGCACCTTTTAATACAAAGACTACTCATATTCGGCGATGGTTCATTTGTAGTTCAAGCCACATATACTCAGGTCCCTACAAATTGGCTTATCGTCAGATACACTACATCCTTTAAGATTTGCATGACTTGGTCACTATTTTGTTGTACAGTCTTGTGAACTTTGCTCTATTTGGTTCAGAATCTTGGTGCTGATTGGTCGGTTCTGGTCCAGAACTTTAAGCTTCTTGTTGTTGCATGTTGTTCTTATTTTGCCTTGCTGAACTTCTACAAAATCAGATGGTCTTCTTAGTGCATGAGTAATATGTATCAGATATTATACTAGTGCTAATCATAATATTACTATCAGCGTGAAAATGATCATCTTTAATGAGATGTATCCGATGATTTAGATGGTTCAAACCAAGCGATAGGTGCAGAGATTTGGGATTCGAATCCCTGCTTGGTCGCTCTTTCGAGAAGACTCCTTGAGTGAAGCGCCGCCTCTTGGAGCAGCTAGGAGCAGTCTTCCTTCAGAAGCTCTGGGCCTGGCCATGTAGTGCCTCATGGGTCACGAGATTATACAACATTTAGATTTTATTTTTAATATTGTTGATCTCCTTGTTTTTCCAGCACCCTCTCTTTATTACTAGTCGACCATGAGAATTTCTTGTCAAACAGTGCTTCAATAGGATTATAGTTCATTTCATTCTTTTTGTATCAAATATCATCAGATCTGAGGCACAGTATATGCGCATGATCAATGTCAGGGATGCTCTGCAAGTTCGGTGGGTTTACCCAACTCATGATTTCACCTTGATTTCCTCTATCCATCTCCACTAACTTATTTTTTGCCCAGTCAAGGTCATAAGGTTCGACTTTGCTTCCTAATTTCCACAGACACCAGTGCTCGATTCCATGACAAACAAAATATGGATATTCATTACGTAGTAGCTTAGATTCACGTCTTCCTTCTAGTTTCGCTTGCTCCAATGACGGAGACGAACAGAATTTTTCATTTTTCGTTATCTTTTCAAATCCGAATTTACTATGCAAGATATAATCGTTCATTGAATTCCATTCACTCTTTATCCGTCTTGAATGCAACAAATAGCTCTCTTGAACTTCCATAGACCTAGAGTGCATTGTCGGGTCTCCATTGACAACGATTTCTTTTAGTTCATTCCAACTGAAAGGTTCTGATGCGATTGTTCGGCCAGGCCCTAAAGAGGCTGTGATTTCTTCCGGTGATAGCCAAAGTCGCAAGTCGGTAGAAGCATTTGTGGATCGACAGCGAGTGTAGACCGCAGCAGACAAATGGAGTGCGAACGAATCCACGCCTCTCAATAGAAAGGCGGGCACAAATGCCATCCTTCTGTATGATCGAAGCATTTTCGACCGCCTTTTTTGTCTCCCGGGAGAATCGGATATTTAGCGGCAAAAAGGTTCTGCGAACAGCTCTTGAAGTTGTCTACGACATCGACGGATGATGACCAATAAAAGATAAAGCAGCAACAGTGGTGATGGTAGCTAGGCAGTAAGGGCAATGTACCTAGTACGGTACCGTATGTCTAATACTGTAATCGTCAAGTTACTACGCGTTGCGCATCAATTGAAATTACGTTTCCCGGGCCAGAGGTGATAATTTAGGAGGGGTGCGGTGTTGATTCGATACGGGAACGTACGAAGTCTTAAAGAAAATTAACTTTTTCCCGTCGCGTGTTGCCAAATGTTGCCCCCTGTTTTTTTTTTTTTTTTTTGATACTACTACTCAACTACTACTCCACTTATCACACCCCTCTCATCACTACAAACAATATTATAAGAATATATTTTAACATATATAAATATATTCTTTATATATTACATCACTATACTTGATGGTTGAAGTTACTCCAATGCTCTTGACATACAGCAGCAACATTGCAACTTCTGCAACCATTCCTTGACATTTTTAAACTAATCGATGGCAACTTCCTCAATCTCCTCACTGATGAGTTAGGATATCTATTCTTTGCTTCTTCTATACAGACAACACAATAGTTCCTCTTTGCTTACTCCTTCATACTTGCCACTGTATCTTTTGTCCCTCCATATAGTGGCCTGTACAACATATTTGGAATTACTTGGTCCAKTCATTGACTGTGTGGCATACCGCATCCATCCCGGTTGCACCTTTGCAACTGCWYCATTTGAGAGTTTTGGAAATGGGAAATCTTCTGCGGTGCGTGAACTAACCCTCTTCTTTGTCTGGACAATGGTTCCAGCTGATACCMATCTGTATTCTTCATATAGCTTGGTCACAACTTTCATTGTAGTGTAGAAGTTGTCCATGAACAGTCGACGGCCATTATGTTGTCCAAGATTGGATTGACGTACCAACCGCTGAATAATATCCCATGTAGACCCACTGCTAATACCA